CCACTGTTACCTAAGAGACTTTCTCTTTACGCGAGACAAGTAGACTCTAAACGTTTGCCCCTGCAACTATAGAGCTACTCAAGATCCTACCCATATCCTCCTTAGCTGTACGCTATATAAGGAGGCTAGGATAAAGATGCAGGAGGCGAGCAAGGACCCCCTATCGCTAGCCTTCCTGCTAAACACGAGCGTAGGCATACAGGCTACTATTGCCTTTATTGAAGAAACTAGGGCTGCAACACAGGCCTGGCACAAAGGAAACCTCGAGAACTAGGGCAACACCTATACTAGGTGGCCTCGCCCTACACCCACCCTACCTCTCTCTTTTACCCGCAAGACCCCCTTCTACCTCCCTCTAGACTAGGCTACGAGCCTCACCTCGATTTAGATAGCCCCCTCCCCCACCTACACCAAAGTGATAGCACTACGTAGATACTTGCGGGCCTAGCCTGCACGTCTTATATAGCCCACCGGCTGAGACAGGACGTAAAACCAAAATAATAATAATAATAATAATAATAATGAACGACAGATCATGTCTTGATGATTGACTGAAGGATGGTTGCATGTAAGTCCTTGAGTTTTGGGAAGATTGGATAATGTAAATTGAACAAAAGAATGCAGCATTTGACAGAGCCACGGCTAAAGAGAGTTTTTGGATTGGCAATCTTTGTAAGCGCTCAGAATGCCACAATATCATGTAGAGCAGGAGTGGGCAGAGGGTGCAAAGTTTCGCATCAATAGCAGGATAATTTATCTAGGCTATTGCTAAAGCTCATGATACTATGAAGAGATTAAGCATGAGAATTAGCGAAACAAGTGTTCTGTGAGCTAGATCAGCTAATGTTACTCTGGCGAGGACGCCACTCTTGAAGATGGGTAAGAAGAGTTGAAGGGCTCGGATGGTGCGGTATACAAAAGTCTTAATCATTCTAGTGAGCAAAACCGTTCGTGAAATTCAAAAGGTTTTGCGGATTCCATTTTCGCTTAAGTTACGAAAGTTGCGAAAGTTTTGCTGCAGTATACCAAGCATTACGACCTTCATCGCCATGTGTGTAGTTAACGTAGACCTCAAGCCCCTTTGCGCCGTTGAGCTTTGCAAAATTTTCACGTATCTCTTTCGTAAACTTCGCGATGGCAGATGTCTGTGCATTTGTCGTGAAGCCACTTCAGCTCATGAATCTTTAGAAGTATTAGTTGCCAGTAAACATAGGTGCACATAGCTGTTGCTAGGACTTGTAGATACGCCATTGTAGCTCGATACGGATACGCTGTTGCTTGGTCTGGTGTTTTGAGCGAGACTCTAGTAGGGAATATCTCCGTGACCATGTAGGATGTCGTCAAATTAGTTGCGGCATAGAAGTCGATATACGCAGCAAGCGTTTTCTGGTAGGTTGCAAAACCATACAGATACGGATTCATGCCATACGATGCTTGAGGAATACCTGAGATACAGCCGAGAGGATCGACACCGAAGCGATTTTCCAGAAAAAGACGGTTGTATGGAATCATGGTCACATTGGACTGGAGGGCTTTGACAGAAAGTAGTGGCTGAAGGATCTTTCTTCCATCATTTTCTGTACCTACATACACAGCATTGACCATTATGACGACCTATAGATTATGTAAATGCCCTGTAGTCAACCTTGACGCTTTAAACTAACCGTTTTCAAAGTAGGCGACTATTGTATAGCGCTGGTCTAAAGCATCTGGCTGATTCTGGATAAACGACTTCAAGACGTTGAAAATAGTAGCATTCGCGCTGACTGGGAAAAGAAAATCGCTGTTTAAGGCCTGGCCACGGTTGGTCTGTTCATGTAATTTGTAAGTAGCAGAGGTTATCAGACCGAAGTTCTGTCCGGCGCCTCTAATACCCAAAAAAGATCGCTATTCTCGGAAAGTGATGCATTAACAATGTCCCCCTTTCCGGTCACAATGGTCATCGACTGGAGTGCGTCTATGATCAAACCATGAAGACCTTGATAGACGCCGATGCCGCCGCCTATGGTAGCACCAACCATCCCAACGCACGAGCAAGATCCAGTCTCTGATAGGAATGGATGTCGGTGCCATATTGAAGAATGTAAGGAAGAACGACCTACTTATCTCTTTTCCAGCCTTGTACACGAGGTTCAAAACTTCTCCGAAGGTGACAGCGCCTCCAATAGTCATTTTGCTTGCTGCAGAATCAATTGATACCCCCTTGAAACCACCGAGATCTATGTTGATTCCGTTCTTCAGGGCGCTAGTAGTCGTAGTATAACCATGGCCACCACCTGTTCCTATGAACAGAATACTGTTGCTTGAAGCGTAACGGACCTTCGCGCTAGCATTAGAATCGAAATACTGGTAAACAAGACAAATTTTGAGCTTACGATAGTCGCGACATCATTGGCAGTAGCAGGCTTCACCCTCATAACAAAGGATGGCGCATCATAGGCGTTCCATCTTTGCTTTATATCGGTAGTGTAGGCTTGAGAACTAGAAAGTACAACTTCCGAGCTAGATGATAGTTGAGTTTTGAGGTAATTTTGAATTTCTCCTGGAATCACTGCCCATGCCAAATTGACCGAGCAGAGTAGTCCGAAAACCAGGTGTGCTGCCATGTTTGCAAACGACGGGTGTCGAAATCGCTCATTAGGGCGATAACACTATATAATCTAGTTGCCTGGCCCGTGGTAACATGTGCTCTATTCTGGTAGTAGACTAAGTCGGTGAGGGTTAATGAGTCGGGCAGATATGGAGAGGGCCCGGTTCGGTGTCAATGCAGTTGGAGTTCCCAAAGGACTTACACTACCATTAACTATGCAATGTGGAACTTGACCTAAAATTCATGGACCGCAACGATATCGATGTCTCAATCTTATCCTTGAGCGCTCCAGGTCTTGCGTTCGCCTCATCTGCCGAGGAAGCCACAAAACTATGCCGATCGGTCAACGAGTACGCCAAGGATATCTCGACCAGTCACCCACGTCGATTTGGTTTCTTTGCATCCGTACCCTCACTTACTCAGATAGACGTTTGTCTAGAGGAAGTGCGCTACTCACTCGATGTGCTCAAGGCAGATGGAGTCGCATTGTTGTCGAGTTATGACGACAAGTATTTGGGCCACGAGGACTTCTGTCCTCTCTGGGAGGAACTTCATAGTCGCAACGCAGTAGTTTTATTCATCCAACCTTTGGCAAGACTTGGGGCGCCCATCTGACCCTACTATCCCCCGACCTATCACCGATTTCCCTCACGAGACAACCCGAACAGCAATAAACCTCATCACGTCCAACATTGTTCGTGACTTTTCGAACTGCAAGATCATTCTATCTCACGGCAACGAAGAACAGTCAACCACACCTTTAGCGAAAAGGCACTGCGAGCGCAAGAGATCCTTGGAATGCGCTACATCGATCAGCTGACGAGTGCACTTGCGGCAAATTCTACGACTGAGATCAATATCAAGAATTGGCTGTAGTATACTACATTTGATATTGTAGGGGATTTAGCATTTGGTGAGCCATTTAGATGTTTGTCAAATGGAGTATACCGTCCTTGGATCGGGCTACTGTTTCCCTTCATCAAAGCGCTTTTGTTATTTGGAGTGGCCAGGCTGTTTAAACCTTTTATAACCTTCATAATTGCCCCTTTGCCAGAGAAGGACGTCAAGGCGCGTATGCAGCATATCAATCTAAGCGCTGAGAAAGTCCATAAATGCCTTGCGGCTGGCGAGCAACGGCACCGATCCGACTTTTGGACATATATCCTGCGACACAATGATGAAAAGGGCATGAGTGTTGAAGAAATGGAATCGAATGCGAGTCTTTTCATCATTGGTGGGAGTGAGAGTGACGCGACGGCGCTGTGTGGAATCATGTACCTGTTGGTAAAGAACCCGGAATCGATGCAGAAACTACGCGCCGATATCACCGCTGCATCCACCAAGCAGGAAGATATCAATATGATAAGTGTAGGTGAGCTGAAGACTCTGCAGGCTACCATAAATGAGGGAATGCGCATCTATCCGCCTGTTCCAGCCGGTCTGTAGCGCATCGTTCCCAAAGGTGGTGCAGTTGTTGCAGGACATGCTATGCCAGAAAACGTAAGCAGACTTCCTAAACTATCACCACATAAGATGTCGAGACTCTTCCACGCGAGTACTAACCGCTCTATTGTAGACCATCGTCAATGTCTCTCAACAGCCAACCTACCACCTCACCAGCAACTTTGCGCACTAGAGCGTTGGCTTCCCAATTCACCCTCTGAATACCCAAGAGATACCAAAAATGTGTTTTAGCCATTTAGTACTAGGCCACGCAATTGTGTTGGCAAAAAACTTGTAATGGCAGAGATGAAACTCATTTTGGCTCGTCTAGTGTTTTCATCATGAGGGAGAAACCAGATCTAAACGTCCGTATGAAATTAAGGGAGTTATGATCGCATTCCGATGGTAGCCGAATATGCTCATAAATTAGCAATGGAAGATTAGTAGAAACCCAGGTAGCAATGGACCGAGTGTGTGCCTGGCTGGGTCGATGTTTGGTAGACCACGAAGGAAAATGCAAACTGCCATGGCTGAAACCATACCATGCAGGATTCCAGGTGATCGACGTCGAGAAGTGATGCATGGTGGAAGAAATAGATGTCAGCCATCCTGGTGGCACATATGCAGCGCTCCCATATGTATGGGGTAAGTCGGCGCAGCTATTAAATACTGTTGAGATGCGGGACGGACTGGGACAACCGGGTGGACTAAGCGATTCGCATGCAGATATACTGCACACTATCAAAGATGCCATGGCTTTCGCTGAGTGAATGGAATTCAAATATCTGTGGATAGATGCGTTGTGCATTCACCAAGATGACAATGGGGATAAGGGCGCTTAGCTCTGTCAGATGGACCAGGTTTACAAAAGGGCGTTAGTAACTATATCGGTATGTTTTTACCGTTCACCTCTTGCAGCTTCGCTTATACCTCTCAGTCTTCCTGTAGCGAATATTGTAACTCTGGACTTGCTGGAGTGCAGCCCGAATCTCGTTGCTTTATATCAGAGATCGAAACAATCGAAGGCATCCAACTCTCTGCCTTTGCTGAGCCATCCCACGCTAGCGTCCTCTCGTCTGAGTGGGACACCAGAGGGTGGACCTTGCAAGAGAAGCTGCTATCACATCAGGTGACCGTGGTAATGCCCACCCAAATGTTCTGGAAATGCTCTCAAGGGACTTGGTACGAAGACTGCCCGCTCGAGACACCTCTGGCCCATTCGATTGTTGCGGAATCCAGCTGGAGATTTTTCGACGACGAGTCTGCGGATCACTTCGACCGCTATCAACACCTGGCTACAGCATTTGTGTTTCGTAAATTTGTCCACAAGAGGGGCGCCGAGGACGCCATCAAGGGGATCAATTGCAAACTTTCACCAGGCTTAAGATCCGCTTTCTACTGCGGCATCCCAGGGAAGTACTTAGATGCAGTTATTCTTTGGGAATGATCTAGTGCCTATAACCACGTCTGGCTCCCACGGCTGAAACACTCTTCTAGTTGATCCTAAATCTCACTCTCTATTCATGATGATACCGGCGCGATCACCAAAAATCACCCCCCAGTGCTCTGGGGCGCAGTGACTAACATCACAAAATGTATGCACTCGCATATCCAGATAGGCAGAGCCAAATGGCCGAAGATTTGCTCGCAGGTAGAGTATTACCGCTTCGACATTACGGATGACTCAACCAATAGAGTCATCCGTTTTCCAGGGCAATACCAACAAGAAATTTGCGGAGTACTTGATTGAGCGCCAGCTCCTCGTTCATTTGTCCATGCTTCCACTCCGCTTCTACTCGACTATCTAAGAGTACGTGCAACTTGCCGTCGTGTTCTGAACGAATCCGAAAGCTCATTGTCTGTTTCTGCATGCTATGCGTGTACTGCTCCCATGGTTGCTCGGATTCTTTGCGTAAACGGCACGCTTTTACGTTCGTTCTGTTGTGGAGCCAGTCACAATGAGTCCAGTCTGACCAAATTCGATGTTGCATTGGACCAGAGTAACAAACAGATGATTGGCTCAGTCACGCTGGATAATTGGTATTGATCCACGCAGCCCAGTAGGATGTTTTTCGCGGTCGTGGCACGCCATGTCAGTAATGGGCCATATGCGATGCTGCCTCGAGCTTCAGGCTGGTTCTTCCATTGCTTATCATTGGAAGAAGCGTTTGACGCGGAGTCGCGTGAGTTACTAGGACCGTATTCGGAAATGGTGTATCGGAGGGTGGCTGTGATGTTTGATGTCGATTGTCAGCATTGGGAAAAGGCGAAGCCGGGTGTTGACATGATAGTGTTGATTTAGTGACATGCAGCGCAAGTAAGACCTTGGTAATAATGTGAACGTTGAAATTATAAGCAAAAATTTCATCGCGTATAGCGTATGCACTTGTAGTCCCGGTGGTTATCCGGAGTGACCCCGGGAGTTATCCGGGGCAACCCTGGACGAGTTATTGTTAGTCCTGGGGTAGTTCCGGCGAAGGCTCCAACCTAGGCACCCGGCCTATTACCTTACATGGTATACCCCATGCAACCCCGGCTTTCCGTTCTGTATCAAGCAGTTCATCAGGTTACCCCTCTGCGATGGTAATTTAATATATTGATATCATCAAGGTTGACTACAGGGAGTACATATTGATAAGTAAGCTAATAAATCAGTTTATGCGTTCTGAAATTCATGTATAAAGAGAGGGAATTCTCCTTGAGCTAACAAGATACAGTTCACAACTCTAACTGTTTATGACACTCGTTTTAATATAAACAACTATACTTATTCACGTTTCTACCTAAAGACCACCAGTACAAACATGTTCGCCCTCAACATCCTTGCCGGCCTCCTCGCCGCTACCATTGCCTCCTCCTCGCCTATTGCCGAGGACGCTACCCTCGCAACCCGCCAGACCACCTGGACGTGCCCTAACTTCGGCAAGAGCTTTAGCGGCGGCCCGGTCGTTACACCAGCCACCGCCGACAACGGCCGCTGCTGCACGACGGGCTGGAGCTACGTTTGGGGTGAAGGGCGCGAGGCCTGCTGTCGCAACGATCCAGCCCTGCTTGAGGACCCGACTTACAAGTACGCACTGCCCTGCAGCAGCGAGTTTTGGGCTACAGGCACTAAGGCTGCGCTGCTGCGGAGCTGCAACCTCGAAGACCCAAAAAACTACCGCTGCAGTGCCGACTGCGATGGCGTCCCGTGGCTGTACCCTACCCCGAAGCCTTGCCCAGCCAAGAACTAAGGGTTCCGCCTCCACATGGCTGCTACCCTCGGCTGTACCACGAAGCCAGGCCTCGTTCTGCTAAGAATTCGGATCTTATGGTTACTCTCTGTGTTGGCTGTTTTTTATTTAATCTTCAATTTGCCCATATTTGTTATCTACAGAGAATTAATGGCTTGATGAGAGAATATATTGTGTTACCGTGCGAATATTCACTATACCTTTTCGACGTAGAATTCTTGCTATACAACATTACACTCACTTGCACAACCAGTTTCCAGTTTGCGCGATGCACAGAATACTCAAGTTACAGGGGCCAATGCATTGCTCAACATGCCCTGAGCCTTATTCAGAATCATTTCGATAGCTGAGAGTTCTACCAAGGCGATTTGAAAAAAACGAAAGCAGCTTTTTGTAATATGTGGAGCTGATCATAGTGACAAGCAGCCTCTGGTGTATGCGCAAGAGACGATATCCATCACGCAGGGACTCTTTTCGCTAGTGTGACAAAAAGCGCTTGTCTAGTTTACGGTTGGCCTACTACTGGTTAGCGATTATGGACATTAGTCTCTAGCATACATAACCTCGTCTTACGAATTGTGTTGCGTTGCGCCCGCTTAGTCATGCTTTCCAATTCAAGGTCTCATGCTTTGGCACCTCATCGATGTGATGCTTATCCCAAGATTCGGCTTGCACCCAAGCATTGGACGATCTGAGCTTGCTGTCGCGTTCCTCCTGCTCAGGTCCATTAGGAAGTGTTGCCTGGCGACCTTTTATGGCGCTCCATTCTGGGACCCGTCTACATCGCGGTGGCCGAATCTCTTGAAATGCATCAAGCACATCCGGAGTATCATTCATTGAATGTGCGCACTCCAGACACTCTGCAACTGTTACTGCATCTTCGAGTGCCATGCTACCTCCCTAGGAGCATAAGTATCTTGCTTCAATATGAGAGCGACGGTATCGACTTACAGTACTAAATCAAAAGTTTCGCAAGTCAGCCGAGGCCCCACCATCACCAAAACTCAACGCCTATGATATTTTTGGTGATATCTCACCCAAAACTGTATATAATTTAATTTTGAAATATAGAGTATTTTCGTAAATACTAGTATTTTGTTTACCAGCCGCGCGTAGCTCTATAAGCTGCGAGGCGGCGAGGCATTAAGTTAATAAGCTGTTCTATACTCTTTCTTAGTATCCGCCGCCAGCTATCTTTTAACGCGTGGCAAAAGCCATCTATCTGTTCCTGACTTTTACTATAGTTATTATACTATAGATAGAACTTATTCATGCGTCGTTTTAGCTGCTACTAGAGGTGCTTAATAAGGTTAAGATCTAGTGAATACGCTGGCCAGTTAAGTGTTGTAATATGGTGATCTATAAGGAAACTCTATACGACTCTGAACGTATATATACGCGCGTTATTCTATATAAATAATTATAAGGGCCTATAAGAAGGTAGAAGGCCTATACGAAGGGCTTTAATATAACTTTGGCTGCTATAGCTACTACGTTTAGCATTAGTATCCCTTTCTATTATTACTAGTGGGCTGCGTTGACCTCGCCCACGTTTATCCAACTATATAGCCCCCTACACTATCTACGTAGCTACCTTGCCCGTAGTCACTTCCGTAATTATACGAGCTTTCTATTTTTCTTCTAGATATTGAAAGCACCACTCCTATTCTTAGTAAGTACTCTTCTATATAGAGTACTTATCTAAGAACTTAACTATGCGGCGATGCTAAGGAAAACTTCTATATCGTATAGTAAACCGTAACCGCTTACGGGCATATTTTAGAGTTAATTTTAGACACTTTTTACAGAGATATTTAACTATATTAAGACGGCGGAGCATCTAATAAAGCGTGGACTTACTAAGGGTGGGTAAACGGGTGCCGTTAGGTTGCACAATAGTCGCAGCTTTAAGTAGCTGTTTATACTTAATTTTAGGCGAACGGCGTGCTTCGCGAAAGATAATCTTCTTTTAGTACCTTAAAAGTATCTGTAGCTGGCCGCTGCGAGGTCTATCTACTATCGTTGAGGTGGTGTTAAACTTTTGGTGGAGGCGGGTGATAGTAGAGAGCGCGCGTAAAAAGATAGCTACAACTTCAGTTGCAGTGCAACCACCACGTAATATGCTAATTGCAATATTTCGCTCCTCTATTGTTATATTTTAGCGACGGCAAGTAGTTTGCGATATTCTATGATTGAATTGGTGCGCTGTAGCGTTAGTAGGAGGTATTCAAAATGTGGACGGTGGGGAGTGGGGTTTTGGTGGGGCAGCTTGACTTGCAAAACTTTTGACGCGTGGCTGTACTTATCTCACCCAAGGAAGGGTATCATAGGCATCATCGCCTATGAGAACAATCTTTCCGCAGCCGCTGACCCATGACGAGGACATACTCTCTTTCAATTGCCAAACTTGGCCTGTTGAATATAGGACCGTATCCTTTGCATGGTGGGTGGGAAGTCTCGGAAAACTTCTTTGAAGCATTCCATATCCTGGCGACGTTCTTTTCCCTCTTTTTGGAAGCCATGTCTCGCATGGCAGCAATAGAGACCTAGGAACCATTCATTCTCTACCCAACATTGATAAATAGAGACTGCTGTTCAATCATCAGATCTCTGCCTACCTCGTCGAACTGGCATGGCAGTGATACTTGCGAAGGGACCGTACCACAAGCTTATGTGATCCATGAATTCAGAAGTTTCGTCGTTTGACCTTACTGTGGCCGCTGGTACAGTTACTCGTGTTATATCCATACCACCATCATGAACACAAACCAGGCGCGGCGCGACGCTTCTGCGAACGCAGGATTTGTATTATGTAGTAAGCACTGGTCTTGAGCTTCATCTCGCGGAATGATATCTTTGAATTCTACTCACCGTCAGCACCAACGACCAGTTCTGCCTTCACCTTTGTCTACATTTGATCTTCATGATCACTGTGTGTGGGTACGTATAAGAAAAGAGATCAAGTGGTAATATTACCATGATAGAGGTGTTTTGATTCGTCCGAAGTACCACCGAAAAAGACTACCCAATAGCTCCACACCATGCTCACACACAATAGTTCTTAGAAGCTCCCTTTACAAATTACTGTGACATTCAATTGAGCACATTGGTGGCTCGCGACCGCTCTAGCTTATGTTTATTTATAATCAATTGGCAGGGGCGGGCTGTAACTCTCAGGCTTTAATGATAACTCCGCGCATTCCCCCTTGTTTCATAGGCGGGAGCTCCTCTCGTCCCATCCAGCTTGGCGCTCCAGGTCAGTGACAGAGCTCATGTTGCTGGCACGCGAACAAAAGTGCAGTAAATGACCAAAACACGCCACTCGTCTCGGCTTCCTATAGTAAGAATAACGACTGTAACGCTGGTGTCTCAAGTAGACCTCCATCGTAGCTTTATCTCTACTATTAAAAGCTCCGCTCTCCCGTTCAGAAGTATTCCCCAAGACGCCGAGCTTGGCAAAACTGCATTGAATGCATAGGGTAGCGGGCACAATATGCGATCAACGACTGTCAGATGTGTCAGCCAAGAAGCTCATACAATGCTCTAAAAAAAAGTAGGTATTCATGATGATTGCTTATATGGTCCGTTAAGTTGGCGTAGGTATATATATCGCCTTATCTTCACAATCCTTTCCAATTCTCCAAGCAACACCTCCTTAAGCAACAGTCTTGTTCAACAACAGTCTTATTCAACAACAGTCTTTTTCAGCCACAGTTTCTTTTTACATTCAGTTCCGGCAAACCTTTCACTTAACTGGTCTCTCTTCTTATCACTCCATCATGGCATTTCGCGCATTTGCTCTTCTTCTTACTACAAGTTCCCTTATCGCTGAAGGGTATGGCTCCAGTCTACATCCTTCTCTCTTTGAGAAACGTCAAACATGCCCAACATGTCCCCTTGGTGGCAATCCCATCGCTAAACTCGTGAAGTTTTTTGTCACCGGAGGAGATCAGCAAAGTACCGTTGATTGCAGGTATGAAAATACATTCAAGGAGTGTTATACATTAACTAATGGCCTATTTTCTCTCAGAATGGAATCTGTATTCGGTCTTCCGTCTGACCTCGGAGGAGAGGGATCCGGAGACTTCGAGGCCGCAGTCCGTGTCAATTTCGACGAAGACCAGCTTGGTTGCTCTGTGGAAGGCGTTTCCCTCCCTATCGGCAATGAAGTTGAAGATACTATATGCGTCGCTGGAGGGTGTTCCGTCTCGGAAATCACAGATCAGAGTGCCCTTGTCACTTGGGGGGCCTGTATTGTCCGGCCTGATACCCCCGTTGCCGAAAATCAGGCTCTTACAGATGCCGAGTGTATCCCTGCTCAGGGTGCAATACGGTTTGCGAGATTCCACGACACCGGAGACTGCAGCGGCACTGAAACCGTGACGGAGCTAACTGTTGGTGGACGCAGCACCACTGAGTTTTCGCCTAATAATGGTGGCGGCATTTTCCATGGTGGCATCGTTACTAGATGTAGCACTGTCGGCACTGCTTAATATCAAGCATGGCAATCCTAACTATCGCGATGTAGAGCACAGCGTGGAATTAGTGCAATAAATGTTGTAGAACTATGTCCAGGTTTCAGTCTTCCAAGATGCATTTTTATAAGGAAAGAATCTAAGATCTAGTAAAACTAGCAGCTATCCCCCGCTCCACCCATTGACACTATCACGTCCACAGTCCAAAGCAGTTTGTACTCTCGTCAGCGGGCACGGTCGCTCGTGGCAGCAGGTTCAACCATTGCTGTATGTCTTTCAGACAGCTATAGGAAGAATCAACCAAGGTAAGATGCTGACTACTAAGCAGCAGTTGTGGCTGAGACAATTCTCCCAAGCACTGCACAACCTGACATCAGCCAGGAACTTTTTTTCGGAACGAAGCTTACCCACGAATTTAAGAGTGGACCATAACACTGTACTTCCCAAGTATAAAGCACAAGGGTGAGCTGATGAATGATTCGGACCCGATTGTGAAGATGCTGGTATTGAGTTGCTTTGGGCATACTACGTAGCATTTTCTCGCTTCGGAATTTCCTCTTGAGACTTCAAACTTGACAAGCGACAAGTGGAAAGTCGATCAGCTGCATTTCTACTACGATCCAGAATAGGACGTGCATTGCGCGAAAAGCCCTCGATGCTAAAATACTGTCCTCAATCTTTTACTCATAGCCTTCGAGACACTCTACCGCTCACACTCTGCTGCCTTCCCATCAGGAGCGTCTAACGCCTCGCCACCATCTTCGATCCCTTACTCCCTTTCGCCGGTGCAGGAATAATAAATTCGCCATTCGTATCGATATCTCTTTCCTTGAATGTATCAAACACATGTAACGACGGTCCCGTCTTCTCCTTTCCTTCCTCGTAAACATCGTACTTGACTAGCAACGCTGCAAGTAAGACGGAAATCTCTCTTTTTGCGAGATTGATACTGCACACATCTGTCAGCTTTCTGTCCAAAGGGTTAGGGCAGGAAGACACGTACTCAATACACCCTCTCGGCCCTTTCGAAACCCCAATAAATGCGCGCGACAACTTAGGGTTTTCAATCCACCCCTCGGGCCTAAACTCCTTCGGACTTTTGAAGACTGAGGGTGTTTTGTGCAGAATTGTGGGCATCATGCTATACGTGATGCCTGTAGGAACTACATGCTCGCCGTACACGACGGGATCGGACGAGTAGCGCCACTGCCTGTTTACGACGCCGGGGTGCAGGCGAATGGTCTCCTGGATCACGGCGTTGGAGTAGGGTAGCGCGTCGAGTTGGGCGAAAGAAGGCGGATTGGGGATAGAAGACAGCTCGACCTTGACGGTAGCGAGGATAGATGGGTGCGTGTAGAGCGAGAACATCGCGGTGCTAAGGGTGTGCGCTGGAGATTTGATGTTCGGCTGGAGTTCCACGTCTTTGAAGGGGGTGAGAAACGGGGAAGGAGTTGATGGTCTTACGCATGATCCCTTCGCCGGCGAAAACAACGAGTTGCGCTTCGCTCGCAAGACGGTGATTTGTCTTTTCTACGTCGGGAATCGAGCTGTTCAGCACGCCGCCAAAGATTGTGCTCTTAATACGTTCGGGATCGTTTGAGGTCCTAATCTCTTCGACCTTCTTGAGCCACCACTGAGCAAACACATCAGTTCATTCAGCCCTTTGTTACCGTCACGTGTCAAACGTACCATTTTCTTCTCCCACATCTCTCTAAGGCCCTAGCCAAAGTTTCTCATCATCCGGCCGGGCGTCTTCGCTACCATCCACCCGACGATGGGCCAATGCCCAAAGGGATGGTTGAGGCTGAAGAACATGTCAACGGCTTTGAAGTACGGCTTCCCGCACTGGTGTTGTTGAGGAAATGGAAGCAGTCGCTAAACGCATACTGCACGACGGTGTCGCTCGCATATGCCTTGAACGGTACACTCACCTCAATGGACCCGCTAGCCTGTTCGATCCGGTTCAGTACCTTTTCGGTATGTTCCCTGGTCACGGGCTCAAGTTTGCGGACGCTGGAAACGGAGAAGAAGGGATTGATGATGCTGCGGCGCTTGCGGTGCATGCCGTGGTCTTCGGTGGTGGTCATGAACTCTGAAGCTGGAAGTGTAAGTGGATAGGTCAAACGTACGTGTGATTCCAATCGTAGACTTACTTCCACTTCGCTTGCCCACGATGATGGGTCTGTAGGTTTTACCCTCGCCTGCGCCAGGGTAAAGGAAGTCGACAAAGTCTGGGTCATTGAAGTGTACCTCGTTGGGTCTGATGGCTGCGTTAGACAAAGTCCAAGTATCTGATTTATGTATAAGGCTGTGACGAACCGTATTTTTGATACATTTTCCTGATCTTGCGAAATACTGTCCACCTTGCCAGGCATCGTAGTAGATTTCATACCATGAAGTCAATGCTGCTATCCTGGGACCCAAGATTTTGGCAAGGGGGTGAATTATCACTATGAAATCGTTCAATTAGTAAAGACGGCTCTGATATTTGACTGGCAAACACGTACGTCGATACAGCCCAAGAGTAATACCATAGCTCAGAACAATAGCTGCAGTTTAGTATACAACCTTGCGTCTAGATTCGTCATCCTGATACAGAGCCACCAAATTCTCGCGTACGTGTTCCATGGCGTTTGCTTAAGTTGAAAACATACAATGACATGAACAACGTTTAGAAAGTGCCATTCCCTTGGCAGGGACGGGATATCTAAATCTATCAAAGATTTGCTCTGCATTGACAGTGATCAAGTTACCGAGAAACCATTGCCAAACGTGAAGTCGTAATCTCATCCTGGAGGACGACGGTAATGCCAATCGTGTATGTCAGCTTGTGTATAGATTTCATGCAAGGTCATTTGAGTGTTGCGGGACGTAACAGCCCACTGTGATAGATGTACACTACACTGCTTTGTGTTTACTATGCGTCGCTTGACTAAATCTACCTGCATCTGCGGCCTGGCTTAGCTAAGCTACCATCGAAGGTAACCCCCGATGCGGGTTTGTGGCACAGTGATTAGAAATGCAAAACATCGCTGTAGCTAGCGCCTTAGCCTTCACCTTCGCACATAGTCTCTCTTTCAAGAAGCCATCTTAACCGTCACATATTCACCACCAAAGCACCCAAAGAGAACAAAAACAACAACTTCACCCGAACAACATGGCCTCCACCACAGTCCTCATCACCGGCGCCAACCGAGGCATAGGCCAAGGCCTTACTGAGTGCTTCCTGGCAGAAGCCAATCATACTGTCATTGCCGCAGTGCGCAACCCCGAACACCCAACCGTGCAGAAACTGCAAGAGCTGCCAAAAGATCCCGACAGCCAGCTCATTGTCGTGAAGCTCGATGCAAGCGTTGAGGAGGACGCAAAAAATGCTGTTACCGAGTTGCAGCAGAAGCATGGAATCGACCACCTTGACATCGTGATTGCGAATGCGGGCATTGGGTACATCTACCCCACCGTCGCAGATGTCAAGATTTCGGATATCAAGGCGCACATGGAGTGCAATGTGTATGGCGTGATAGCGCTATACCAGGCGACACGGGATCTCTTGAAGAAGTCGTCGCGCGAGCCTATATTCCTGCCTATGGGGTCGTCGGCAGGATTGTTGATGTAAGTTGACTTTGACGTTTCTCTCGCGATTTTGGTTGACCGTGGCCTTTAGCAACCATCTACCCATTCCCAACGCCGCGTACGCGCCTACCAAGACAGCAATCAATTGGTACACAATCCGCATCAACGACGAGGATGAGTGGCTTAACTGCTTTACCATCGACCCGGGCCATGTTTCGACGGATCTGGGCGACGGGGCGGCAGTGGCAGTAGGTATAGGCGAGAAGGCGCCCCTCTCGGTTCAGGATTCATGTGAAGGCATGATGAAGTTGTTCGCTAGGGCTACGAAGAAGGAGTTCGGTGGCAAGTTGATGGTCTACACCGGGAAGGTATCGCAGTGGTGAGGGCATTTTAAAGCCCCTCCCTGCAATGCGTGCGCTGGGTACCTGAAATAGATTAATGATGGACCCTACCGGGTTCTTACCTCGGGGTAATTAGATTGATAGGCTTATCAATGATACTATAGAATCCACTCTGCATTGATCTGGACGTGGGAAGGTGGAGAATCATCATGAAAGCCCACAACGCGACGTGAACATTGAAGTTGTTCAGGGTCCATGCAATGTCTACGGTCGCTACCACCAGTACTGTATATGGTCAGTGCGTGCAATAGTTCAGCTCATGCAATAGTTCAGCTCATGCAATACTCTACTAGAATATGTACCTACTAAAAACTAAAGCTTTTAACTACTACTAATACGTTATCATTATATATTTTTATAGTAGAGTACTAGTATAATTATATACAGTGGGGTGACAAAAAAAAAAGAACTCAAAAAAGTTGTGATTTTCAAACATCCATTGCTCAATGGGTATTAGCGCTAAACTAATAAAAAATATATCGTTGAATAGAGAATTTCTTGGCGTTTAAGATGTTGGTCTAGTAAGGTTGCTTAGTCAGCAGCAGGAAGGCTATTTTGTTAGAGATATAAGCTAATCAGCTAATCTCTGACATAATCCGGGTGCTCGGCACTATACTCGGATTCTTCAGTCAACCAATCCCTATACAATTCATCTATCTATTACGTCTATAGCTACGTAATCTACTACTAGATAGATTCTTCTAGAATCTAGTACAGCAAATATATATAGTAGTAGAATAGCTAGTAGATAGAAACCAGAGCAGATTACAAGAACAGATCAGACTACTAGATCAGATCAATCCAATCCTTATCTCTCTCCCCTAGCATTTCTCTCTTTTCATCCTAGAACCTATCGATTCGCTACCTCTGAGTCTATCGCTAGACAAGTAGACTACTATACCTCTGAGCTAGCTATAGAACAAGTAGCACCTGTCACGGTACGGGCTCACGGGCAGAGAGGACAGGCGCGTGTACAGGTTCTATTGC